AAAAGAAAAATAAGGAACAGGGTTAACTATGAGAGAAAGGTGTGGGGGGGGGATAAATTTAAAAAAAAAAAAAAAAAAAAAAATTCAACCAGGAACAGGGAAAAGAAAAAATGCTGAAAACTTGGACCTGGGAGATGAAGATTAAGAATAATAGTAAAAAGGAGAAAAGTATTAATAATAATAGTTGTTTTAAAACAGAGAAATACAAGCAAACTAATCACCAGAAAAAATAATGTGAAAAAGAAAAAAATAAAAAAAGAGAAAAAAAAAAATCAATGGAGGACTGCACAGGGCACCCAGGGTCCGTCTGAGCACACAGTCTGTGATGGTGTTCCTGTGGGCCCAGAAAGTAGGTGGGAGTGGGGGATGGCTACACCTCCATTCACCAAGGAAGTATGAGGAATAAGGGTAACAAGAGGAATGTGATACCTTTTCACTTTTGCAGGTCCGGAGTGTCCTTGGTGTTGCTGGAAAGTGGAATGTGTTCTTAAGCTCCAGGAATCTGCGAGAACGCTGTCTCTTTAAATATCCAAAATAGTCAAGCCGCTTTTAAACCTTCAAAATGGTGGCGCCCTGGACTGGTAAAAGTCCACAGCTCAGCCCGCCTTTCTCTTCACCTTCCCTGTTTATTCGAATCCCAGCCACCCGAGCAGTCCCTGCCTAGCAGGGGTGATTTTTAGTTTAATTCTTAGGTCCTACCACTACTCAGGAATCTCCAAGCTGTCTGTGCCATGAGGATCACTCAGGATTGCTGCCAGACCACAGCTTTGTATGTCTCCTTTTTTGGTATTTTCATGCAAATTCTGCTGCTAGTTGGGGTTTAGTCCACTTCTGTATCCTTCCCTTCAAGGCTCAGGGGCCCAAGATTATCTTCTGTGTCTGTGTTAATTGGTTTCCCTTTTCTTTGTTGAAGAGGGTCTGCACAGTCTTTCTGCCTAGTCCGCCATCTTGCCAGAACCCAATAATTGTAAGTTTTACTCCAATAAATGTTCTACAATTTTTTTGGTGTATTTTTTTCTCTCCCTAGTCTCTTTCTGTTCTAGAATTCTGATCACACATAAATTATTCCTGTTGATGGTGGTCCACATAAATCTAATGGTTTTCTTAGTTTTGTTGTTGTTGTTGTTGTCTTTTTTCTGATTGTTTCTCTAGGAGTAGTACTGAGATATTTGTCTTTAGTCTTACAAATTCTGTCTTCCATGGATTCAATTCTACTCCTTTGCCCTTGCAATATTTTATCTATTTCTAAAATCTCAGTATTGATTTTCTGGATTTCTTTTTGCTGTTTTTATATGGTTTCTTATTTTTCATTTGTTTTGTCAATTTGTTCTTGTATTATTTTCCTGAATTCTTCTAGAGTTTTGTCTTATTTTCTTATATTTTTTCAGTGTTTTCCTTGATCTTTCTCTCAATCTGTTGAAGGTACCTAAAAATAATTGTTTTGAATTCCTTATCAGGTAGTTCCAATGTGATTACTTCCTCAGAGAGGTTTTCTCCCTCTGTATTTTGGTCACTTGTTTGTGCCCACTCTGTCTTGCTTCTTTATGTGAACTGAGGTTGTCTGTAGTTTCTAAGATATTGTGGTTTTATTTGTATTTAATTGGTGATGGTATTTTGTTTTGTTTTGTCCAAATTTCTGTGTGTGTGTGTATGTGTGTGTCTACTTTGTTTTGATACACAAACAGTGAGCAGGGCAGGTGTGCTACTCTATTCTCTAGTTTGATAGCACTCAGGTGATCACTACCCATCTTTTGGTGGTTGTGATAGAGGATAGAGGTGTGTGCACAGTCTCTGTTTGCTGGTCATGGAGAGCAGTTGAGAGTGGGTTGGGTTGGTGCTGATTGCTGTTTATCATTGATCAGGTGGTGCAGGAGCAGGGCATTGCCCTCAACCAGTGGGTGGGATTGCAGGAAGTATGGATATGGTTAGGCAGTGTGGGCACAGTGCTGTCTCCCACTAGGTAGGCCATAATATAAATAATCCAAAAAATAAAACAAAAAATAAGAAAAACAAAAGAAACAAACAGTAGCCACAACAAAAAGAAAATAAATGAAATAAAAATAAAAAGGAATGACAAAAGGATTTAAAAAGAAAACCTAGGTGAGGAGACAAAAGAAAAGAGAGCAGTAAAGAAAAATAAAAAAAGAGACAAGTATGAAAAAGAAAATGGGAAAGAAGGGGAGAAAAAAAAAAGCAAATAAAAAGAGGGAAAAGAAAAAGCAGAAAACTGGACAGGCAGGGCATCTGGGTGGTGCTTCTCCTGGCCATGTTGGTGATAGGAACCATGGAACCTGGTTTCAGAAGACGTTCCTGTTGGCCTATAAGGTGACTTGGAAGCTAAGCATCCCATTCAGTCCCAGAAGATGCTCCTACTGGCTTGGTAGGTAGCTGGGGGAAGAGTGTCTTAGTGGCAAAAAGAATTCATGCCAGCCCAGAGGTGGTTGTGGATAGGGTGCCTGGTTCTAGATAGAATTCCTGCCAGTCCAGAAGACAGCTGGGGGGTAGCACGCCCTGTTCAGGATGTAGTTCCTGCCAGTCTTGAAAGTGGGTGGAGGTGGGAGATGGCCACACCTCTGGTCACTGGGAGGGTATTGGGAATAAACATAAGATCATGTCTGTCTGGTCACCAGCTACCTGTGGGCACCTATATAGTCTTGGGTGAGCAAAGCAAATTATCAGATTACTGCCCTGCTTGGAATGCTGCTTGCAAAAATTCAAAATGGCCATCCTGTGTCAGGTCAGTTGATCTTTGCTGTTTTTACTCAGTTTCTTCTAGTTGGTATTTGACCCATTTCTTTATCCTTTCATTTGAGTCTCAGGGTTCCAAGATTATCATCTGTATGTTTCACTTGCTTTCTCATGTCTTTGTTTTAGAGGGTCTGAGTAGCTTTTCAGCCTAGTCTATCTTGGCAGAAGTCTCTTCATCACTACTTTTTATTAATATAAATGCTCCTAGTGAGGTTTTCTTTCTTTTTTAAAAGCTGTTTTTTTTTTTTTTTTTTTCTTTTTTCTTTTATTCCCTCATATACATCAGGGTTAGAAAATATTTTATTTCTTATACTGAGCCATGAGGAGCTCTGGTGGCACAGTGGTTAATACATTCAGCTGCTAACCAAAAGGTCCAAAGTTTGAACCCACTAGCCTCTCTCCAGGAGCTCTGGTGGCATAGTGCCTAAGGCATTTGACTGCTAACCAGAAGGCTGGCAGTTCAAACCCACCAGCCACTCCTCGGAAAGAAGGTTGGACAATCTACTTCCATAGTGATACTGCCTTAGAAACCCAAGGAGGGGTTGCTGGCTCAACAGCAGTGTGGGATCTCTCTCCAGGAAATAGATGAGGCACTCTGCTTCCATAAAGATTGGAAGGCCTGTGGGGCCTATGGGGCAGTTCTGCTGTGTCCTGTAGGGTCGCAGTGACTTGGAATCAGCTCAGTGGCGGTGGCTCTGACTCACAGGGGTAAACAATGGAATATACAAATAAGTAAAAAAGAAAGCTAAATTAAATGTTTACACACTAACCCACCGGCATCGAGTCAGATCCGACTCATAACGACCCTTCCTTGGGTTTCCGAGATAGTATCACTATGGAAAACCTTTTTTCTAAAAAATGAAATCTTTTATCAGAATCCCATATACATAGCTGATAAAAGGCAGAGTTGCTGTGGAGCCTTAGATCCCAGCCACCTGGCCTCTTCCTCACCTATACGCTGTCCTGAAGCGCCACGGTAAAGGTTTCACCAAATACAGTCTGGAAACTACTCTAATTATATATATTGTACTGATGAACGGTAATTCAAAAGAAACATATTCCAGCTTATAACAGTAATGTTCAGAGAGTTGTATACTAATGATTAAAAGAGTGACTTTGTATATTTGTCAGTTAACTATTTAAACTAGTAGTCTTTATTACTGTTTTTAGTTGCTTTTGGATATTTTATTATTTGTTATTGAGAACATATGTGAATTCTGGTACTATTTGGCCTGTATTCTTATTCAGAAGTCTCGTTTTCAGTATGACTGTACACTGACCTAAATTCATGGGAAAAATTAATAGATTAATAGGCAGTATATTTCAGTCCCATATTAAGTAGAATTGGAATCTGAACTATGAAAGACATTTTCTAAAATCCTTTCTGTAATTCTCTTTTTCAGGAGAAGATGATGGTGAGTTAAAACTTCTGTGTTTATATTTGCTTTAAGTGTAGAGGAAATGTTTTTAATGATCAAAATTTTATTTTTCCTCTATTCAAAGAAAAATGTTTTTCCTATTTCTTTCAGAGAATAGCTACCAGTGAGTAGGGACATTTTAAAAATAAGAACAATATTTTTTAATAATGTAAAGTTATCCTATGTTAAAAATGAGTATAAATTCCATTTTTCCTAAGTCTTTAGTACAGAAACTAGGTTTGTATTCCAGGTTCCCCATTTTCTGGTTTTTGTAATCTACTTGATACATTTTGAGGAAATGGAAAAAAAAAATGATACAATTTTTACCAGATAATTTGCCTTGTGACCTCTTTATTTTTCTTACTAATTTTGAAATGTGTAGCCTCAATATTAATGATGTTATATATAGATTGTATGTGTGTATATTCTCTGTCCAAACTATTTTACATAAATGAGGTTATGTTGATCTGCAGCATATTTTTTCCAATATTAGCTATAAAAACCTTTACATTTCAGTATATGTAAATAATCTTTTTTTCTGTTTCAGAGAAATTAGTAAATGTATTAACACCTTATCAACAATTGATTACTAAATATATATATAGATCATAGGGTCCCCCAAAATAGCCAAAATCATTATTTCATATGGATGTTTACTTATCTTTGTTCAATGTTACGTGATGGGATTAATGAAGGGTAGAAAGAAGTGTAAAAGGTGATACCTTCCCTCTAGAAGCTGATAATAGATAGCAGAAATTATAAGCACTATACCTAAATAAAAGGAGCTCTGGTGGTACAGTGTCTAAGGCATTTGGCTTCTAACCAAAACCTTGGTACTTCAAACCCACCAGCTGCTCCACAGAAAAAAAAGATGAAGCAGTCTGCTTCTGTAAAGATTTATAGCCTTGGAAACCCAATGTGGGTCACTATGAGTCGGAATCAGCTCTATAGCAGTGACTTTGGCTTGTTTTTCATACCTGAATAAAGGAGCTTTGTTGGCACTTTGGTTAAAGCATTGGCTGCTAACCAAAAAGTCAGTGATTCAAAGCCACCAGCTGCTCTATGGGAGAAAAATGAAACTGTCTGCTTCCTTAAATATATATGGCATTGGAAACCCTATGGGGCGGTTCTACTTTGTCCTATGTGGTCACTATGAATTGCAATCAATTCAGTAGCAATGAGTTTTTAGTTTTATATTGAATGAAAGAGCCCTGGTGGCACAGTGGTTAAGTGCTTGGCTGCTAACCAAAAGGTCAGCAGTTCAAACCCACTCTATTGAAGAAAGATGTGGCAGTTTGCTTCTGTAAAGATTACAGCTTGAAAACCATATGGGGCAATTCTACGACGTCCTATCTTGTCACTAGGAGTCGGAATTGACTTGATGGCAGTGGGTTAGATTTTATATCTGAATAATGATAACAAAGTAAATAAGTACTAACTACATTTATATACAAACAATATAGCTCTTTAGGGATGGAACAAATTATATCTCACTATCTAGAAAAGCTTAAGAGAGGATGTGGCATTTGAGATGAATTTTGAGTAATGGAGAGATTTAAGTCAATAAAATGGGATAATGCATGCTAGTTGGGGGAAACAGCATGAACGTAGGAGTGGGGAAAGGAAAAATCAAACATGTTTGGGAGAACAGTAAGTAGATCCATTTAGCAGTAGGAAGGATTTCATATTTAAAAGAATTAAAAATACCTGTTGCTATTGATGTTGAGTTGATTTCCTACTCATGGTGACCCTATGTGTTACAGAGTAGAACTGCTTCATAGGGTTTTGTTGGCTATATTTTTGGCCTTTCTTTTGTGGCACTTTGGGTGGGTTCTAACTGCTCACCTTTAGGTTAGTAGCTAAGAGCAAACTACTTGTACCACCCAGGGACCTTCAGCTTTTAAACAAAGATATTTAAAATTGGAAAGATGAAAGGAAGTAAAATTATTAAAGACCTTGGGAATTAGACTTACTCTGTTGGCAGTTAAGGCTTTTTGAGTAAACAAGTTATAAAATGATGAATGATCTTTAGTAAATATGATGAATAATGAATCTACAGAAAGATGTTTATGTTGTTTTTCAAAGTGTGCAGACTCTCAGGTGGAAGAAATTCTGCAAGATCTAATTTATCCTGTAAACTCCTTGCTCACCTCATCTCTATATTGAGTGTTTTTTACTATGTTTTTTCTCAATTAAAACAGGTATTAATAAGTATAAGTAAATTAGGAAATCCATTGAGAGTTTTGGTTCTTACTGACTTCCATCTGTTGAAGGGGCAGGGAGACAGCATCTTTTGACCTCTTCTAACTACACAAGAGGAAGGAGCGCTGGTGACATAGTCCCTAAGGCATTTGACTGCTAACCAGAAGGTTAGTGGTTCAAATCCACCAGCCACTCCATGGAAGGAAGACTGGGCAATCTATTCCTATAAAGATTTACCTCCTTGGAAATCCAAAGTGGGTCGCTGTGAGTCGAGATTGACTCGATGGCAGTGAGTTTGGTTTGGGTTTAACTACACAAGAGGAATAAAGAATCACCATCAGCAGCCCAAGGCCTGTTCCTATAAACCCAGACATGCCGCCACCCTACAGCCCTCTTACCAACCTTGACATCAACTGTCCCTCCCATGGCACTCACCACCTCTCTGCTAGGCTCAGTAATTCACTGCAGTGGTCACACAGAACTTACAGATTATAGAGTTTATTAGGGAAGCAACAGGCTACAATTCAAATTCAGAAATGCACTCAGGATGCAGTTCTTTGGTAAGGACAGTCTTTCTCCTCTGCTGTGCCCTTAGACACACCTCTCCAGCCCTTGGCCTCTCAGCTTGCTCTCTGCCTCTGGGCCAGGTAAGCCTGCTGCTCTGTCTTGTGTCTCTTGGTTCCACTGCAGCCATCTCTCAGCCAGGCATTTCTCTCAGCCAGGCATCTCTCTCTCAGCTGGACATCTCTCTCTCTCAGCCAGGTGTCTCTCTCTTAGCAGTGCATCTCTCTCAGCCACCACACAAATTTCCCCTGCCTCTAGGAGTGCTCATTTTAAGCCTGGCAGAGTGGCAAAACTAACCAATACCAACATCAGAGTCCTAAACATCTGGCAGAGAGTGAACTTTCCCAAAAGATTACTTCCTGCTACTCTAACAGAAATATCCCAAGTGGATGACTTTAATAATCAGGAGTTTAAAAGCAGCTACTCCATTGCTCATGGCAAATTCCACCACAGGATTAATTGCCAGTCTCATTATAGGAAATAACTACTATCAGCTGCCTAGCCAAATTGATACATATTTACATGGTCCCACCCAGTAATCTACTGGGAGTTACCAAGACTATGGCTAGAAAAGCCATACCATGCAACTTACTACACCACATCATCTTTAGGGGAAGAGGAAAAAAAAAAATAGAAGAAACGTATCATGTCTGAAAAAAGATCTTTTAACATTAGTATACAGATAAGTCAAGCTCCTTTGTTTTATTCAACTTTTCTGAAGGATTGTCTTAAACATTATGGGATTTCTTATTCTCCTTTGAAAGTAATGTTAGGTAAATGAGGATACATACCTAGCTTTATTGGCTCAGGGAAAATGGGATAATCAATAATTGGAGTTTTGTGTTAATTCATTATCTGTTTTGGGATTTTTATTTTTAAATGCTGTGGTTATTTTCATGAAAAGCAAATTTACAATTGTTAAATTATTCCTCTGTCCCATGCTTTTGAATAATTAAACTTTCTAATGGATGAGATTTATATAATATTTTTATAGTCAAAAATACATTCTCCTAGTATTAATTAAATCAGTTGTGTGTTTTCTAAAATCAAATGCCTATTTTTCCACTTTTCACAAATCAGTAGACATTTCTAGAGATAATCCTGTCATAATAATATTCTAGTTTGTAAATGACCATTTAAAATATTTTAACCCAATTCATTCTGTTTTTTAGGAGAATCATTCTACACATGGTTAGAAGGTAATCTTAATGTCTGCATTTGAAATTCATTGGCTTTTTGTGAAAAAAAAAAAAAAAGTACTGACTTATTTAATAAATTTCTTTAAGTTTTAGAATTTCATTACCTAGACAACAAACTTAGACACTGTTTGGAAAAAAGAGCATGTGTTTTAAGGTGGTTATATTTTGAGCTATAATTATTTGAGAAGTTTGAGGACATCAACTAGTCAAAAACCAGTGTTATAAAAATATACAGGCCACGTACTGTCCTCAGGTATTCAAAGCTGCTTCCCAGTCTTATTTCTGTTCTGTATGTAGTACTCATCTAAACTATTTTTCTAGTAATCATTTTGCAAATCTATTTTTAAAATAGAGACATTCATTTTTTAGAAGGAATTACTTTTTATATGTAAAATTGATGGAAGTTAAATTTGAATTCAGAAGGTTTTAAGCAATTTGCACATGTTAATATAGTCTAAACTTGTTTAACTAAAAGATAAAATTGTTTTAGATCCCAATGTATTACGTGTATCTTTTTATATTCTAGTATTTTCCCATGCTGAAAATAGCAAGTGTTACTTATGGAAAGCTGAAACAGTCTAGAATTTTTACCATTTTGGTTAGTAACTGGATATAATACTTTTTTGAGATTTACTTTAACAAATTGCCATTAGTTCATGAAACCAAAAGTTAACATATATATATTGATGAAAACCACACAAGTTGAATGATATTAAAAAATTGATATTTTATAACCTTAACCTTATGGAAATCTACAGAGCTAAACTTAAGTAGTTAATCCTATTTTATGTTTGTTAGTCCCTCCTTTTATTTTATTAACATGATTTCTCTTTGTTATTAATGAGCTTTGTGCATATATTGGCCATTATTAAGGTGAACATTTTTGATGTGCAATTACTTTAGGAATTATGTTGATAAATGGCTTATTGGATTCTAGGCTATACTATACCAATATCTTATTCTCATGAATCCCTGAATATAAATAAATCATTCCAGAGAGTGGTCTTATTTATAGGCAATTCACTCAACCTTTTCTGATATTCAGTTTCCTCATCTGAGACATGAGAGTCATGATAGCTATCCTACTTTCCTACACTGTGAGTGTAGATGTTACTTGTAAGAATTCCTTTGAAAACCATTAAGCAATCAAATGCCAAATAATACTCTTAGAATAAATCTAGCCCATCTGTGAGAGCAGAAAAGTATGTATTAGTAGAATTTAATGAATTTAAATCAAAAGAAGAGAACCAGTTTTGAACTTGGGTAGTTGAATTTGCTCTCTATTGCTAGAAATAGAAGTGGGTGAATTTCTCCTTTGTGGATCAGATTTTGCAGATACTACTCTAGAGTGTGCCCATGAAATCTTTTTCTTGGACCTACATGTCAAAAACCAGTTGCTTTCAATTCAATTCCAACTCATGGCGACCCTATGAAATCCCTAGGTGGTGCAAATGGTTAATGTGCTCAGTTGCTAACCCAAAAATTGGAGGTTTGGGTCCATTTACAGGTGCCTCAGGGAGCTCTGGTAGCGTAGTGCCTAAGGCACTTGACTGCTAACCAGAAGGCTGGTGGTTCAAACCCACCAGCCGCTCCTCAGATGGAAGATGGGGCAATCTACTTCCATAGTGATACTGCCTTGGAAACCCAAAGGAGGGGTCACTGTGAGTCGGGTCCAACTCAACAGCACATAACAACAACAACACAGGTGCCTCAGAAGAAAGTCCTGTTGATTTACTTACAGAAAATAAGCCACTGAAAAATTCTCTGGAGCGCAATTCTGTTCTGAAACACATGCAATCACCATGAGTCAGAATTAACACCAACTGGTAAAAAGTAGTCAAGTGTTAGGAGGTGATTGCAGCTGGGGAGAAGTTCTGTAGCAATTTACTGCTAAGTGTGGTATGTGTCTTGTTGGTATATTCAGTTGGCACATTAAAAAAAAAAAAAACTTTTATTGCGATTTGGGTGAAAGTTTGCAGAGCAAATTAGTTTTCCATTCAAAAATTGATACACATTTTGTTTTGTGACATTGATTGTAATCCCCACAAAGTAACAGCACTCTTCTCACTTACTCCCTGGGTTTACCATTCATCCTTCTTTTCTAGCCCTTCCAGCCTTCTGAATTTTATTTCATTGTGTGTGGGGGTGGGGGAAGAGAGAGATTTGGATGAAAGTGTACAGAGCAAATTCATTTTATATTCACCAGTTCATACACATTGTATTTCATGACATTGATTGCGATCCCAATAATGTAACTGCTTTCTTCCCAGTTCCTCCCTGTGGTTACCTTTTCCCTATGTCCTTCTTTCCTGAACATTCCTGCCCTCAGAGCTATGGCCCTGTGCAAATGCTGCCCTTCTGATTTCCCATGGTTGATTATTCTAAGGAGTGTACTTGCCTGGTGTAAATGTTCACCTTATAGGCCTACCCATGGTCTGCCTGGAAGCCATGGGAATGAGTTCATTCAGTTCCATGCCCGAAGGGTGACTAGGGTGACTAGGTATCTTGAGGGGAAGGGATTTACTAGTCTCAGACAAGTAAGCCTGGTCTTTTTTATGATTTTGGTTTTGTTCCACATTTTTCTCCTACTCTATCCAGGATCTCTTATTTTGATCCCTTTTTGAGTGGTGGACAGTGGTAGAGTTGGCACATATTTTATTATTACTATTTTACTTGAAGTTAACCTAGTTTTTGCAAGTTCTGGAAATACTTTTCTACTCTTCCCTCCTTACTTACCACTCTTCCTTATTTTGGTTAAGGAATTTTGTGAGCTTTGCAAACTAGAATTACCTTCCCATTTTTCAGATCATGTTTTTTAGGCATAGGAATTTTCGTGGCCTTTGCTTTGTCTGTTGTCCCTTCTCTAGTTTTAAGAATGGCATGGCAGAGATGTAGGTGTCTGACCTCTTCTGACTTCACAAAGGGAAAAGAGGATCAAGATCAACAGTCCAAAACTGATTCCTCTGACATGGAGATCAGATGTGCCTCCTCTTTCCCACCTTTTTCACCAATTCTGACACCATCCCTCCCACAGCACTCTGTACTGGGTTGATAATTTGTTGCAATGGCTACACGGAACTTACTGTCCATTCTCACACTTATGGCATTTACTAGGGAAATAACATGTTATCATTCAGGTTCAGGAACACTGAGGATACAGTTCTTTAAACAAGGACAGCCTCTTCTTAGCCATGCTCAGAGGCTGGGCCTTGGCCTCTTAGCCTCGTTTCTGCCAAACTTAGGCAACTGTTACAAAGCTCTTTTAGGATTCTTAAAAGTTACTTTTCTGAATTTTTCTTTATTTTTAAAAATTTTTTATAAAGAATATGTACTACTTCTCTAATAAGTGAAAATCTTCTTTAAAGGAGGCAAAGGTAGGACAGAATGGTATTATCTTGACCTCTGTCTTAAGTTTGAACTAAAGCTTATGGGTTAAAAAAACTGTGTAAAGTTTTTCTTCATATTCCTCAAATCTATCTGATATGATTCTTAATCACAGATAAATAGTCTAGAAACATTTTTATATTAGGTGAAATTCCTGGATGTCTATTTTCTAAATTTTGCCTCCTTAAAATTAGAACATAAACTTAAGTAGAATTAGGGAATTTCAAAGCAGAGTGTTTAATAAGACACAAATATATAAGTAGGAGGAATTAAACTAAATTTATTCTAAAGAGTAGAAGTAGTAGAACTCATCAATTAGGAGAAAGAACACAAATAGGGAAAGGAAAATGACAAACAGCTATCATTAAATCAATGCAGTGAGTTTATAGTATGTTCTTAGTCTTAAATGGGAGCTTTCCAGTTGTCATACATAGCCCAAATCTTTCTGTCTCATTCTGTACTCATCCTAATCAGCTACTCCATTCTGAAGCCAGAATCATAATTTACCTCCTAGTGAGATAATTCTAATAGTTTTATATATTTTTTAATTTGTTTTTAATCGTTAAATCTTAAAAAATAAAGCCTGTGTACCGAATCTCTTTGATTCAATTTTTTTGTATATCTAAATGAAGTGATTTATTTTTCATTATTTTTCCAAATAGGTTTATGTTTGGAGAAAAGAGTCTTTTATAAGCTTATATCGGGACTTCATGCTAGTATCAATTTACATCTGTGTGCAAATTATCTTTTGGAAGGTAATCAGACTTTTTAATAGAAATTTTTGACTTCTATTTGTGTGAAAATTATTGGGAAAATACATTATAGAGTAAAAAAAAAAAAAAAACTTATTTACTTAAAGAATGTAATATATTTCTCTTTTCTTTAGAAACCTGGGGTAAACCTAGTTGGGGACCCAATATCAAAGAATTTAAACGCCGTTTTGACCCTGTGGAAACCAAGGGGGAAGGTCCAAGAAGGCTAAAGAATCTGTACTTTTTATACTTGATTGAACTTCGAGCTTTATCAAAGGTGGCCCCATATTTTGAGCGCACAGTCATTGATCTTTATACTGGAAATGTAGAAGAAGATGCTGACACAAAAACCCTTCTACTCAGTATCTTTCAAGATACAAAGTAAGAATTGAGTATTAGTGATCTGAAATTTTCCACTATGTATTTGAATGAAGTAGGAGCTCTGGTAGCATAGTGGCTAAAGCACTTGACTGCTAACCAGAAGGCTGGCGGTTCAAACCCACCAGCCACTCCTCGGAAGGAAGGTTGGGCAATCCTACTTCCATAGTGATACTGCCTCGGAAACCCAAGAAGGGGTCGCTATGAGTCGGGGCCGACTCGATGGCATGTAACAACAACAACAACAACATTTGAATGAAATAGCTTTTGGAATACAACAAAAACTGACTCCTAAAACTTAGGAAAATAAAAAATTAAGACTGAAAAGAAAAATGATTAAAATAATATCATTTTAAAATAATTTTTTAAATTATTTAATAATTATTTTTAAAATTCAGACTTAAAAAGATCTATAAAACTTTGTTGTAGCTTAAGCTATTTTTCTAAACTGTTATACATATACAGCATAGAATTTGCCAATTTAAAGTTTTTCATATGTTCAATTTAATGACATCAATTACATTAATGAAGTTATGCAACCACACCAATATCCAATGCCAAATTTTATATAAAAAGAACTCACTGCTTCCTAAACAATGACTTTCCCTTTCCCACTCCTTCCTACCCCTGGTAACCACTAGTAAAATTTGGTCTTTGTACATTTACCTAGAATAGGCAATTTTTAAAATCTAGATTTAAATTTTAAAATTTGATATGTTATCAAAATTTAGTGATACTTTTAATGTTCTTTCTACCAATTTTTAACATGTTATTTTTCATTAAAACATTACAATCTTATAAATTAAAAATTCCTGTGTATCTTGCTTTTTTTAGTCTTTTATTGACTAGTTTATGTATGAACTGTTGTCACCTCCCTATATTACTAAACATAACACATGAGTAAATTTTAAGAATTTATAGGGATAGAAAATTCCAGTAGAAATTAGTACTTGGATTTTCATCTGTAATTTATTATTGTCATTTCATCAGGTCCTTTACCATGCACTTCGATGAGAAATCTATGTTTGCAGGTGACAAAAAGGGAGCCAAGTCATTAAAGGTAAGAAGTTTTTGATTGGGGGACAAGGTGGGGGAAGTTTACTAGTTTTATTTTAGTCATTTTGTTGAAACTATTTTCTTTCTCAATTCTCCAACTTGTTGTAGTTGGTATGATTCGATTTTATTAAGTGGTGCTCTCTCCATAATTCCTTCTCAATTCCATTGTCTTTCTAGTGTGACCAACTGCTTAGTGAATCCTAAATCATGACTATATCCAATGAGTGTGACACTTTTGTAAATGTCTTTTTAAAAGGATTATTTTGAGAGAAAATGCTATAAATTTTAGCTTTTGTACTTTAAAATCACAGTGTATATTGTTGTTTAACCACTGGTGGCACAGTAGTTAAAGCATTTGGCAGCTAACCCAAAGGTTGGTGGCTCCAAAGCACCAGCCACTCCACTGGAGAAAGATGTAGCAGTCTGCTTGCATAAGATTCACAGCTTTGGAAACTCCATGGGACAGTTCTACCCTGTCCTATAGGGTCACTATGAGTCTGAAGTGACTATAGCAGTGGGTTTAATTTGAGGTTTATTGTTGTTCTGATGTATCTTTAAAAAAATCTGATATGGTTAGGGTCCAAAGACCAGGTCATTACATGAAAATTGGCACTATGTGAGAGTCAGGGCCATGCCCCATCTTCAGCAACACTGCCCTCAGCCCTTATTGCACACTGCCCATTGGATTCCCCAGCACATCTTGGGATATCCATAGCATGGTGTGCTGCCCTTCCCCACCATGCCTTTCCCACCATCATGGAGCCCACAGTGATTGAGAATCGTGGTAGTTGAGGGGGTGCCTGCCACCTCCAGAGCAGCCATCACCTGGCTGCACCTCAGGCCTCTTCATGGACACTTGAGCTGAACCTGTCCACCTTCCTGCTCCACTGTCTCCAGAAACAGGCCTCAGTGGTAGGTGGCTCTGGGTTGCAGGCAAGTAAAGCCTAGCCACCACCACTGGGCAGGAGCAGCAGAAAGATCTCTTTGGAAGAAGATTTCTGAGCCCCTACCCAATTCCTGTGTCACTGGCTTTTGCGGCCTCCTCACTACCCAGCCACCCACACACCTGGCACTCCCAGCAGGCCCAGCCTGGCTTCTCCACCTGACCTGAGTAATACAAACTGCTGGTGGTTCACATGGCATCTCCCTCTCACAAACCTCACCCTCCTCCTCTAACCTTGGTTCCTCATTAATGCATAAAATAGTTGGATAGTAGATTTTTTATGTTCTCACAAATGTGAAATGTTGCATAACAAGACAGTTGATAAGTGAGGAGTAGATGTATTGAATTTTGGATTCCTTGGGTTGTGCAAATGGTTAAATGCTTGACTTCTAGCCTAACGGTTGGCAGCTTGAACCCACTCAGGAGAGTTGGAAGACAGGTTCAGCTATCTGCTTCTGAAACATCACAGCCTTTAAAACTCTATGGAGCAGTTCTGCTCTGGACACATGGAGTCACCATGAGTAGGAGTTGACTCAATGACAACTTATAGTAACAACATACTTCATTTTTAGGGGTTGTTTTGCCTTGCAGTTGTTGTAGAGGGATTTTACTATTTGGTATTTAATATAATGTTAATTCATTTTTATGGTGCTTTCTATTTTATAAGCACTTACATGATAGTATACCTTTGATCCTAACAACTCTTTTGCGTAATAAATAGAACTATAATTACGTAAGATTTATAGATGAAGAAAATGAGACTGAGAAGGGCCTAGGGTCTCAGAACTACCTTTCAACTGCACAGTGTTGGAAGTGTTGTTTGCTAATTTTAAAAGGGTATATAAAGGAAAATGTAAGTTCCACTGTTCCATTTGCTGCAGAGAAAATGAATTACATCAACCTGGGGACAGCAGAGGAGTTTTTGTGTTTTACTTTTATTGTTGAAGTATGAATCTAGGAAAATCGGAAGTTGTCAAAAATGAAATGGAATGCATAGCGATCAATATCCTAGGCATTATTGAGCTGAAATGGACTGGTATCAGCCATTTTGAATCAGTCAGTCATATGGTCTATGCCAGGAATGACAAATTGAAGAGAAGTGGCATTGCATTCATCATCAAAAAGAACATTTCAAGATCTATCCTGAAGTACAATGCTGTCAGTGATAGGATAATATCCATACACTTAACAAGGAAAACCAGTTAATACTACTACTATTCAAATTTATGCACCAACAAGTAAACCCCCAGGTGAAAAAAGTGAAGATTTTTACCAACTTTTGTGGTTGGAAATTGACTAAACGTGCAATCAATATGTATTGATAATTACTGGTGATTGGAATGTGGAAGTTGGAAACAAAAGAAGAATCATCAGTAGTTGGAAAATACAGCCTTGGTGATAGAAATGACACTGAAGATTGCATGCCAGAAATTTGCAAGACCAATGACTTTTTTATTGCAAGTACCTTTTTCAGCAATATAAACAATACTGTACACGTGGACCTCACCAGATGGAGTACACAAGAATCGAATTGAGGACATCTGTAGAAAGAGGTGATGAAGAAGCTCCATATCATAATTTAAAACTAGGCTAGGAGCCCACTGCGGAACAGGCCATCAGTTGCTCATATGCAAGTTCAAATTGAAGCTGAAGACAGTTAAAACAAGTCCATGAGAGCCAAAATATGACCTTGATTATATCCCACCTGAAATTAGAGACCAGCTGAAGGATAGGTTTGATGCATTTAACATCAATGACTGAAGACCAGACAAATTCTGGGATGATATCAAGAAAATCATACATGAAGAAAGCAAATGATCAGGAAAAGAAGAGAATATGAAAATGGTTATCAGAAGAGACTCTGGAACTTTCTCTTGAATGAAGAGTACCTAAAGCAAATGGAAAAAATGAAATAAATGATCTGAACAGAAGATTTCAAAGGGCAGCTTAAGAAGACAAAGCAAGGTATTGTAATGAAATGTGCCTTTTCTAACCTTGAGTTAGAAAACCAAAAGGGAAGAACAAATTCAGCATTTCTCAAACTGAAAGAACCAAAGAAAAAAATTCAAGCCTCAAGTTGCAATATTGAAGGATTCTATGGGTAAAATATTTAACAATACAGAGAACATCAAAAAGAATTGGTTGATGTTCAACTATTTCATGAGGTAGCATATGACCAAGAACCAGTGGTACTGAAGGAAGAAGTCCAAGCTGCACTGAAGGAATTGTCAAAAAACAAGCCTCTAGGAATTAATGGAAAAGCCACTGAGATGTTTCAACAAATGGATGAAGCACTGGAGGTGCTTACTTATTTATGCCAAGATATTTGGAAGAGAACTACCTGACTGCAAGAGATCAATATTTGTGCCCATTCCAAAGGTGATCCAACAGAATGTGGAAATTACTGAACAATATCATTAATATCACATGTAAATTAAATTTTGTTGAAGATAATTCAGATAGTTGCAGCAGTGTATTGACAGGAAACTTCCAGAAATGCAGGCTGGATTCAGAAAAGGATGTGGAATGAGGGATATCATTGTTGATGTCAGATGGACCTTGGGTGAAAGCAAAGAATACCAGAAAGATGTTTACCTGTATTTTAGTGACTATGCAAAGGCATTCGATAGTATGTATCATAACAAATATGGATAACATTGTAAAGATTGGCATTTCCAGAACACTTATTTGTGCTCATGAGGAATCTGTACACAGACCAAGAGGCTGTCATTAGAAAAGGACAAGGGGATAACCGCATGATTTCAAATTAGGAAGGGTGTGCATCAGGGTTGTCCTTTCAGCATACTTACTCAAACTGTATGCTGAGCAAAAACTTGAGAATCTGGATTATATGAAGAAGAATGCAGTATCAGGATTAGAGGAAGAGTCATAAACAACCTGCGATATGCAGATGACATAATCTTGCTTGCTGAAAGTCAAGAAGACTTGAAGCACTTACTGATGAACACCAAAGACTACAGTCTTCAGTATGGATTACACTTAAACATGAAAGAAAAATCCTCACAACTGGACCATTAAGCAACATCATGATAAATGGAGCAAAGATTGAAGTTGTCAGGGATTTCATTGTATTTGCATCCATAATCAATGCCTATAGAAGCAGGGGTCAAGAAATCAGAGGTCATATTGCACTGGGCAAATCTGCTTCAAAAGAGCTCTTTAAAGTGCTGAGGAACAAAGATGTCTCTTTGAACACTAAGGTGTGCCTAACCCAAGCCATGGTATTCTCAGTTGCCTCATATGCCTATGAAAGCTGGACAGTGAATAATGAAGATCGAAAAAGAGTTGATGCTTTTGAATTGTGGTGTTGGCAAAGAATACTGAAAATAACATGGACTGCCAGAAGAACAAACAAATCTATCCTGGACGAAGTGCAGCCAGAATGCTGCTTGGAAGTGAGAATGGCCAGACTTTTTGTCACCTACTTTGGTCATGTTGTCAGAAGGGACCATTCCCTGGAGAAGGATAATGCTTGGTAAAGTAGAGGATCAGCAAAAAAAGGGATTACCCTCAATAAGATGAATTTACACAGTGGCTGCAATGATGGGCTCAGGTGTAAGAAGGATTGTGAGGATGGCGCACAACCATGTAGAGTTGCTATGAGTCAGACCCTTCTCAACAGTACCTAACAACAACTTAAACTGACTTTCTTTTGGCCAGGATATTGATCCCTCTCAACCCTCTGGACAGCTGAAGAATGTTTTTGGTGACCATATTTTTCAGGCTGCTTATGTTCAACTTCATGTAATAAAATATTTACCTCCATTCATGAAATAATTTTTATTTGCAAAGGTCAAAAGATCAGGAAACCTTTTAAAACCAGTATTAACTTCAGGTAAGGTGAAACTCACCTGAGAGTTGTAGGGAACCATGCACAGATGCTCACAGGTAGAAGAGTCTCCCTGTGTTGGAAAACATTACAGCAAACTACAGGTATCCAGTAAGCCTCCCTATAGAGCCTGCATCTTTAAATATGGGCAACCATAAGATCAGACAGCTGGTGCAGCCTTGCAGTCATCAGTGTTGATTGAGCACCCTTTATAAGCAGAATGGTAGGAAGAATAGATACAAAAATTGGTAATGTTTTGGAACTAGCAAAAGAACAAAGCAAACACATAAAATAGATACATTTACCCTTTGTTGTATGCAGATATCAAATAGAAGCAACAGTTAAGTTTCCCAAAAATAAAGACCATGGTTATTTAATTTTGTGTTCCCCATAGTGTGTATCTTAGTGGATTGCACAGAGTAGTTCCTCAATAAAAATTAATTTGTTGAATTAATATTAATTTAATTTAGTAAGTTTCCATTAATTGTTGTTTCATCTGCTATAATATGATATACAAATTCAAATATCTTCTTATTCAATATAGAAAAACACAGCTCATTCATTAATAAACTTAAAAATTTTTATTTCTGATAGTTCAGCCTAGTGCAATTTAATTTTAAAAGTCTAATTAGAATGAAAATATTTTCTGCATGTTAGGAAGAATTCCGGTTGCATTTCAAGAATATCTCTCATATAATGGACTGTGTTGGATGTGACAAATGCAGACTATGGGGGAAATTACAGGTGTGTGTATTATTTTGTTTTGAAACTATTATTAACCTTTAGTTTTTCACTGAGAAGTTTAAAAGTTTTTATTAAAAAATCCTCATTGTCCATTGAATTAGAGTTTAGAAATAGGAAGAGCCAAGGTGTTGTTTTCCATTTTATTGATGAAAAAAAATCTATATTATTAAGGTCTCTGTGTTAATCTGTGTATATGTAATGATATTTTTTTGTATTAACCAAAGTTAATGGTCTTAGAGGTTTCTTTTATCTCTTTATCTTCATACAATCTCAGATCCATTTTTAAAATTGGTGGTTATAAATAAAGTATATTGATATTTTTATATACTTAAAAGTAGTTGTGTATAGTTGGAAAATATAGTTGGTAAAAGGCAAAATGTAAAAAAGAAAAAACCTAAAATATCAATATTTGGTGATTGGCATTCTTTTAATGATCAAAAGAAGGCCACCTAGTCACAAAGTAGGAAAGCTCTCCCAGGCAGGCCCATTAACCTTATGTTCAGTACAAAAAGGATTATTCCATATTTTATCTCTTATTTTCTTAGATGGGATGTCATAGAAAATAGAGAATTATTTTAATGGAAGCCACACTAAAAATAAGGCCTTGGTGGATCGGTAATAGATGTCTTGCCTTCCATGCAAGAGACCCAAGTTTTATTCCTAGCCATTGCACCTCATGTGTAGCCACCACACATTTGTCAGTGGAGGCTTGCATGATGCTATGATGCTGAACAAGTTTCAGTGGAGCATCCAGACTATAATGAAAGAAAGGCTTGGTGATCAACTTTCTAATAATAGCCAGTGGAAACCTTCTGGATGACAACAGTCTGATTCCCAACCAATCCTGGGGATAGTGCAGGACTGGGCAGCACTTGTTCTGTTGTGCATGAAGTCACCATGAGTTGGAGGCTGACTAAATGTCATCTAACAACAACAACACTAAAAACATATTTCTTTTTCTCTTGTGTTTATACCTGAGAAATTAAGTGTTGGTGTCAGTAATAATCGCTGAGGTTTGAATTGCTAAGGACTATAGGAAATGCTTTTAAAATTACATATTGAACACTGAAAATCTAACCTTTTTTAAAAAGGTTAAAAAACAAAGACTTCGTAGTAATTTGGAATAGTATGTGTACAAGTGTTATAACTATTTAAGTTCCTTCACCACTTAGATAAATATATCACATTCATAATCTGTGAGGAAGTAGAAACTGTAATGACTTACTTCTTGCTGGGAAATCCATCCTTTTTTATTTTTAAAACTAATTTGAACTGCTTAAAGTTTTAAAAAGTCCCAGGGTGGTGCAAACAAGTGAGTACTTGACTGTTAGCCAAAAGGTTCGTGGTTTGAACCCACCCTGAGGTGCCTTGAAAGATAGGCCTGGCAATCTACTTCCAGAAGGTCACAGCCATTGAAACCCTAGGAGCAGTTCTACTTTGCACATATGGAGTCGCCATGACTTGGAATTGACTTGACAGCAACTAACAGGAATAACAGTCTTTTTAAACTTTGTCTTTTTATAAGATATCTGATGTATTTTAACAGGTTGGTGAAAAGATCAGGTCATATGAATTTCCTGATTGTCATCACAGTACTGAATGAATATTCCTTTAAACCTTTATAGTAGTTATTATATAAATTTAATTGTAATTATATTGCAATTTTCTTTAGACTCAGGGTTTAGGAGCTGCTCTGAAAATATTATTCTCTGAAAAAGAAATTCAAAAGCTTCCAGAAAATAGCCCATCTAAAGGCTTCCAACTCACTCGACAGGAAATAGTTGCTCTTTTAAATGCTTTTGGAAGGTAAGAATCATTTTTACAGGGAAGACTTTCTATTTTCCTGTTAGTGCAACAAACTTCAAAGACCACCATCTCTACTAATGTAGGAATTGTTTTGTTTAAAAAGACATATAATTATCATCATATATTATTATACCTGTATTTATTTCACTGGGAGCTCTGGTAGCATAGTGGCTAAGACACTTGCCTGCTAACCAGATGGCTGGCGGTTCAACCCCACCAGCCACTCCTCGGAAGGACGGTTGGGCAATCCTACTTCCGTAGTGATACTGCCTCGGAAACCCAAGGAGGGGTCGCTATGAGTCGGGTTTGACTCGACGGCACATAACAACAACAACAATTTATTTCACTTAGAGTATTATTAATAGGAAAAATGAATAATTTCCAATCTCCAGTGTTTCTCACTTTGCTTCCTCTATTATGTGGAGAAAATATTTTCCTATTAATAATTACTTTTGAGGGAGCTCTGGTAGCATAGTGGCTAAGACACTTGCCTGCTAACCAGACGGCTGGCGGTTCAAACCCACCAGCCACTCCTCGGAAGGACGGTTGGGCAATCCTACTTCCATAGTGATACTGCCTCGGAAACCCAAGGAGGGGTCGCTATGAGTCGGGCCGACTCAACGGCACATAACAACAACAACAATTACTTTTGCTAGCTATAATGTGTTCAAGTACAGTAGCAAGAGTAAGGATAGCTTAGTTGAGATGATAAAAGACAAGGAGATTCAACCCTTCAACTACCCTTCCCTTATTTTTTTAAACTGAGGAGGCATTTTTCTTTCTGTGCATTTCTTATTAAGGATTTCCTTTAAAAAATTATAGTTTTTCCTGTATTGTTAATGGGATATGTTAACTTCATTGTATCTTCCAGCTGATTATCAGTCCATTTAAATAGTGAATGATTTTGGCTTCACTAACACAAAATGTTAAGGAACCTTGCTGGTGCAGTGGTTAAGAGCTCAGCTGCTAAATGAAGTCAGTAGTTTGAACTTAGCAGCTGCTTTGTGGGAAAAACATGTGGCAGGCTGCTTCCATAATGATTTTAGAGCCTTGGAAACCCTATGGGACAGTTCTACTCTGTCCTGTAGTGTTGCTATGAGTTGGAATTCAACTCAACAGCACTGGGTTTGGTTTTTCGGAACACAAAGTTATCGCATTCCTTTTTTGAGAAATTATGCATTAGTTTTACTTAAGTGAATTATTTGCTAGCTTTCTCTGTCTGACAATCTATTTAATACAGTTCTACCTCAGTTAGGGCTGCCTCACACAACTGCCTTTTTGTGTAAGGCTAGTGGGCAAAAATGAGATGAACAATGTCTTTGGTCACTGAATCCTGAAAAATATGGTTTCTATATCTTGAGTAGCATAGCCACTTTGTTTTGTTTACTCTGTAAATGTTGTCTCTCTATTAACAGACAGGTTTGATACCAATTCTGATCAGAAGGTTTATATTGTATTGGAAAAATAGATATGGCATTAATAACCTGCTGGATGTAAAAATGTTTTACTGCCCTTCTAAAGAGTAAAGTAATATGTGAACATAGACCATGCTCTGGACCTGGCTGTGTCTGTCACTGAATAATAATAGAGAATGTGAAAATTATATATTGCATAAGAAATTATGAGCTCTGGACTGCATCTTCACAGAAACTACTGTATAATGGACCTAGATAGTGCTTATTTAGTTTGTGCTTAACATTGCCAGTAAAATACTCCTAGGGGCAAAAGGGCTGTACCTATGTTATTTTATATAATAACGTTTGAGTTTTCTGATCCTCTCCATTTTGTGTCAGAATTGGACTTCGAGCATGCTGGTTTTCATTCTGAACACATCTACTGCTAATTACTATGATTTCTTCTCTTTGGTTAAGGACCTTAGTTCTTTACCTTACCTTCATATACATTATGGTAGGGCTTTTTGTTATTGTTAGTCTTTTTTTTTTTAACAGATATTTGAATTATAGTATATATACTTACACATTTATTTTGTTAAATAATAAATATATTCTTTTTCCTAATAATTAAGAGTTGTTCCAAGCCTTTAATATTTTGACGACTAGAATGATACTACAAACAAAACAAAACTCACTGCCGTTGAGTCGTTTTTCTGACTCATAGTGACCGCTCCTTGAGTTTCTGAGGTGGTATTTCTGTGGAAGTTGATTGCCCAGTAGTTCCTGTTAATCCTAAACAACCTGTGGAAGTTGGAAGAAAAATATTTTGAGACCATAGAGAGCATAAATTTTCTGAAAGAATGTATGTCATAATGAATTATATGGGCTTTGGAATCAAACAGACCTATTTAGAACTTACGTACTAGCAATGACCCTGGAAAAAATTACTTGATTTATTTGAGCCTCAGTTTTCATAAAATGTGAAATCATGTTAATTATACCTACTTTGTAGTATTGTAACAATTAATAAGATCATGTATAGGATGTACTTAAAACATTGCCTGGCATATCCTAAGCTCTCAGTAAACAGTAACTATTCTTATTTAAAGTATTTAAAGAAAGGAATTTAAAATTATATATTAAAACCAATATATATATATATATATATATATATATCGCATTCCTTTTTATAGTAATATTATATATTACATACTAAATCCTATGAAAGAGATACAATAGATTTTATTGTCTTGGTCCTGATTTGCATAATAGTAATTTATAAATAACAGAATTATTTTTTGTGATTTGCATTCAGGTTTTACTTCTGGGCTTCAGAAACACTTAATTCATTAATTCAATAATCATTTATTGAATCTATGGGGATTCTGGACACAGGGATTCAGAAATAGACAAACAGAATCTTTACCCCATGAAGTTAACAGTATAAAACAAATTAATATATTTGAGGAGCAAGGAACAAGAAGTGCCTCTTCTAAACCAGGACTAAAGGACCATACCTCTGTGTTTTGTGAATCTTTAATGAGAAATTACAATACTCAGTGAAAAGTGTGTTGCTTATACTCTTTTATTTTAGATTTTGCTTTAAAATTGTAGCCCATATGAAAATATCAGTAATTTAAATGTATGCATCATATTAGCTGTGCTAATAAGTCTTTTTTTTTTTTTTTCTTTTACAGGCTTTCCACAAGTATAAGAGAATTACAGAATTTTAAAGTCTTATTACAGCACAGTAGGTAATAAAGACTTTTTCATGTCTCTTTAGAGACATAAAGGGACTATGGCAAGCCTTCTAGTCTTGGACCTTCAGCAGATTTGAGAAGAATTTTGAACTCTTTAAAGAGAAAATGCAGATGTTCACTTGAATATTTATGATCCATGATAGATTATTATCAATTGGAGATATTTAGAAATGAAAAATATACTTTTAAAGCATGTAATTTATACTAATTTTGTTTACTTTCACTTGTTTCTACCTATTGAATATTCTGTGATTCTATTTATCTAGACATATTTTGTTCTTATTGGATTATCTTTCACTTATAGTTGTCAAACCTTAAATGACTTTTTCTCCATCCTAATCACAATGTTAACAATCTGCTATGGAAAAGGAGACCTGGAAAATAAATGTTCCTTAGGACTGGTATCAGTGATAAAAACTTTACTGTACTATTTAATGTGTTTAAAAAAAAAAGCCCAACTCTGTCACTTTCGACTGTCAATGTGATGAAATGTCCTTTAAATATGTAATTGCATATGTCCTTATGTATCCCTAGTACTTCAATTTGAGTTTCATTGGTTTTTATTTATGGTTTTTAGTTGCTGTTGTGGCTGTTCTGTTTTGATTTAAAGGATCTGCCTTTGTGAAAATGAATAAGTACTCTTACCTGTGTGACCCAGCCAGATTTTCAAGAAATTCTTTTACTTAGAACTTACAATCAGTTTCTTTAGATTTTGTCTTTCTTTGTTCTCACCACAAATTTAGAAACTCATCTTCTTTTAAGACAAAAATAAACAAATACTTCTTTAACATGTTGCTTCTCAATAAAATCTAAATGGGACTATATGCATTAATAACACCAATTAAAAACATAATACAAAAGTTTCCATTAATTTTTTTTTTTTGCTTTTTAAATTAAACACTTTTAAGGATTTCATTTTGGAATATAATCTATGCAGTCCTGTAACTCTCATTCTTATTTTCTTTGGTAGGATATCTAACCAGGTAGATATTTAAGCCTCCTTTAAGCCCCCTCCCCATCTTTTCATTTTAGTTCATTGTATATAAATGGTATTTTGTGTGACTTGTACCAACAGATGACTCAAGTACTGAACTATCATTTTCTAAACCTGGGACTTAGATATCCTTAAACAGTATTTACAATATTGATTTTGTTAAAAAAAAAAAAAAAGGTGTAGTAGATATAATGTGATTGATTTGGAAGGTTGTGTCTGTGTAGAAGTAATGGCAGGTACAAAATACAGAGTCTCACTTCAGACTCTTCAGTCTTTTGCAAAGTAAATAACAAGTGCTCTTAAACTCTTATCTTGCCAAAGTCTGAAATGTGTTCACTGGTGATTTAATGGATTAAGTTGTTCTAAATTTTACTTATTTTGACCACTCCTCTTTAAAAATATTTAGTTGTCCTTTGAAGAGGTATGATTGGGGGAAGTAAGGTTATCATTAAATATTTTTTCTTTACCTAATTCTAATTTTTAAAAAACTGATCTTTTTGTTTTTGTTTTTGGTGGTGGTAGTGTTTTGTTAAGTTGAATAACTTGATTGACTCAATTGAAGCCTCCCCTTTTTTTTTTTTTTGTCTTTGTTTAAGGATGCAAATATTGTATGGTAGGGAAGGAGTCCTTACGACAAATTTGTTGAGAAATAAATATCTTGCTGGTAAATTAGTAAGAATTATTCACAAGTTAGTGTTCAGAGTTTAAGAAAATGTAAAAGGTTTGCACTTTACTATTATTGTATGCTTAAAGTTCTTTGTTGGTAGTGTAACTTCACTGTTCCCTCAAATAAAGAAGAAAACTTATTATTTAAACTCTACTTACTTGAGAAACTCCTTGGTCATTTCCATTGTTGCTTCATATCTTTACTATGATTTGTTTTAAGCTTAGGAAAAAATTTATATTAGAGTCAATTTTAAAAATGCAAAAAGTTTAATTAGGGTGAAAAGTTATTTTCAAAGTTTTAACACATTATTTCACTACTAATAAATAAATGAAGTATTCTTAAGCTGAAATTCATTTAACTTTATTTTACTATAAATTCAATTGGGTGGCACTAATTTTTGTGTATGTGTGTATATTTTTTAAAATGATTGTATAAACTGTAGGAATCTTTGTTTTGTGAGCCTGGTGATGTTTTATGGTATTTGTGATATATAAACTGTTTTTCCAGTCCACATATATTTTATTGTGAAGTGAAAATAGAATGCTGATTGCGTTGTGAAAATGCTTGGCTGGTAAATACCTCTTGGCTTTTTATCTTTATCTCATCACCTAATTTAAATTTTCAGCACTCGATAATATAATTGACCAAAATGATTGTACCAGCTGATGAAGTAATGAAAATGAAGAAAAGGAAAATATTCCTTCCTTTAGTGGCATGACTTTACTTTTTCTTAAGTGACTTCTATGTAAGGTAGAAAAACTATTAAAATTGGTAAACTTTGAATGTTTCTTATGTTTTTCCTCTTAAATTATTGATAGGATCAGACAAAATGTAATATTTCAGTTTTAAAATTTGGTAAGTGAAAACATTTTACTTTGACATTTTGACATTGTGAATCCACTCAATGCTTGTAACATCTTTATGTATATGAAACACTGTGCCATGTTTTCCAAAGAAAAGACAACTATTTTCATCTTCATCAGCATTGCTTTCAGCTGGAAATTTTGGGAACACCACACATTAAACCTCTTAAAGTTTGCAAACTGAAGTACCTGCAGAACTGTTCACCAAAATAGACAGATTGGGTACATGGCATTATGGAAATTATTTGGTAAAAGCAAAACACAAATTCAAAATCTTTTGTACTCTAACTAGCATTGACAGGTGCATCTTTGATTTTGAACAGATTTCCAAATAATTTGCTAATGTATCCACCAGATTTCAGAAAACATGTGTTGAAGTAAATGTTTCTGCATCTTTTCTTGCTTTTTCCTTTGTCTTTTAAGTGTTCTTTTATGAGGACTTGATTATAATTTGTGAAGAGAGAAAATATTTTATAAGGAGTCTGATATTCTTTCTTATAATTATAGTCCTAATAGCAAGCATTTACAGACACTATATTGTGGGCTTTACGTACATTATCTTACTTTATTTTTACAACATCACTAGTAGTTAGGTATAATTATCTCATTTTACAAATAAGAAAAATAAGAATAAAAGAGACTTGTATCCCATGGTCACAAATTCTTTATTATAGAGCTAGAATTTGACTCAGAGTCTCTCTTCGGGATCTGGTATATTTGTGTAATTTTGTAAGTTGGCCTGTTACCATTCATCTGAAAATTGGGGACCTTTAATATCTCTTCATTCATATTTAGTCATGAGGCTTTTTCAATATGCTTATTTTTATTTAATGTTTTGAATAAGTAATACATTCACATCGTTCAAAAACCAAAAAAATACAAGTTATACAGTGAAATGTCTTCCTTCTATCTTTGTTCTTTCTTTTCAGTACTAACCCCCACCTACTAATACCATAAATAACCTCTGTTCTTGGTTTCTTACATTTCCACCATCCAGACCATTTAGGCATTTACCAAATACAAATGTAAAGTGTTATTTTTTTCCTGTCATTTTTATCCAAAGACTGACATTATATACATTCTGTCATTTACCTTGTTTTTTCCATTAGCATTTCTTGGTAATCTTCCCATCTTACTAGATAGTGTTCTCATTTTTTTAAGTAGCTGCTTAGTACTCCATTGCATGGATGTATCATCATTTAATTAACCAGTCTTTTATACATATGTCATTTCACATATATGTAAATAAGTACCTGTAGGATAAACTCCAAAAAATGGAACTGCTGGGTCAAATAACATATGCATTTATTATTTTGAAACATATTGCCATATTGATCTCCACAATTACCAGTTCATATATCCACCTGCAGTTTATCATGATGCATCCTGACCCACGACCTCAACACAAGTGTTATTGAAATATTATATCTTTGCCATTCTGATTTATGAAAAGTTATATCTCAATATATTTTTACTTTATATCTTTCTTAATATGAGTAAGGTTGAGTACCATTTATTTAAGGATTTGTGTTTCCTTTTGTGTTTGTATCTTCTGCACACTTTTCTATCCCACTGTTATAATTTCTGTTCTTGTTATTTGCCATCGAGTCAGCCCCGACTCCTAGCGACCCCTCCTTGGGTTTTCGAGGCAGTTATCACTACGGAAGTAGGATTGCCCAACCTTCCTTCCGAGGAGTGACTGGTGGGTTTGAACCACCAGCCTCCTGGTTAGCAGTCAAGTGCCTTAGGCACTATGCTACCAGAGCTCCTTATAGTTTCTAGGAGTGCTTTATTTCTTAGGATAAGTTATAGATCCAACCAGTTTTTTTTCCCCAGATGATTATGAACTTGTTCTAATACCACTGATTGAGCAACTCATCTTTTCCCTAGTAGTTTTAGAGGCTGCATGTATCATACCAAAATTCCCATCTGTATTTGGCTCTATATCTGGTTGTCTTTCTGTTTCATTGATCTGTCTATTCATTAGCAGTATTACATTGTTTTAATTACTCAGGCTGTTTATGTTCTAACATCTGGGATGTTGTCACTCTCATTCCTCCCCCTAAATTTTTTTTTTTAACCGTTTTCCTAGCTGTCCTTATTTGTATATGTTTTATATGAATTTAAAAAAATCCTTTAATATAAGGATTATGCTAAAGCTCTGTCCAACTCAGTGTTCTCAAGGACTGCACTTTTAACCATTTGATTCAGCACTATTCTTTTGATACTTTATCTGGTAAAGATCTACATTTCACTCCTTGCAGTATTATTCAGTAGTCTGTCAGTACCCAAACAGGTAAGGACAAAGAGGCAGGATGCAGTGCTTGTGCAGAAAGAATTTCAGTGCTTCTGTTTTAAGGCTTGGCTCCAGGAATAATTTAGGAACTGTTTGGATATAAAATCCTTTTTTCCTTTTTTATACCATTATGAATCTTTTCTCCAAAATTTGGATATTTGTCAAAGATTCATAAGGCAACAGGGAAGTGTCTTTAAACAAATGAGCATTAAACTTATAAATGTTCAGTGGATAGAAATGCAAGTAAAAAGTTATCTAAAAAGGAAAGTTGAGAATCAAGAAAAGTCAGAGCTACCACCAAATCAAAATCCATTGCCATAGAGTTGATTCTGAGTCATAGTGACCCTATAGGACAGAGTAGAACTTCCAC